CTGTTTACAAAATGTAGCAAAAAAATGGAAACCTTCCCTTTGCAAACTAAAGGTCAGCAGTTTTGATCAGTAAATTTATTTAGATTGAAATTTTCATTTTCATTTTATTTCTCTCTTTTTTTAAGGATGAGGTACTGTTTCCTTAAAATAAACACCTTGCATGTACCTGTCTGTCACATTGATATTCTTTGCCATGGTTCACCACCAAAGCTATCAAAGTCATTCTAACCTTTCACAACTCGCCTTGGCCAGTTTCCCATATTAGTCATAAAACAGTACAAAGCCTACTTACATCCAGCCTTTTACAGCTATTAAAACAAATTAGAACATTTAATTCATGCCCTGCTACCCATGATCATGCCCTGCACTGTGTTGTCCACCCCTTTCCCAGCCTCTCCCCCCCCCGCAACCAAATGCCTGCAGGCCTCACTCACCCCATTCCTGAATGGAGCCCCATCTTCTGCCTCTACCCCTTCCAGCTCTGCAGCTCCACCCAGGCTCCACTACCCCTCTCCCCGTCTCAACTGGTGGCTCAGTGCCATGCTCAGTGTCCAGGTGAGGAGCCACTACAGGCAGTGGATAGCTCGCACGCAGTGACAATGGAAACGGAGGGGACTGTGGAGACTCCCAAGGGTCACAAAGCCCTGACAGAGCTCTCTGAGCTACGTTCCCACTCAGAAATAAGGCGGTGCTGCTCCGCTCTCTTTATCAACACTTGCATCCAGGCCCAATCAAACTCTTGGCTTCTTAGGTTTTTGTTTTTACAGACAGCTCAATTTTGATTGATTGATTTTAGCAGACTTTATGGAAGGGCATTTTTAGCCTTGCTTTTGTACGGACTGTCTATAAATTTACAGATAGCCTGAAGGGCTAGACCTGGCTGTTACCAGCAAGTGAGGGGATGGCACCTCTCTAAACCAGAGTGTTTTCATGTGAGGTTTGTTCGCCTTTTTGTTTTGTTTCTTCCTTTTGGGCAAGGCATGGTCCCGGACTTCGAAGCCTGGCTGCAAGACTTGGGGCAGCTGGTTGGGGGAGTAGTGAGGCTGCTGAAGGCTCGGGGAAGGAGTGCAATCCCTGATTCTGTTTGTGGACTGCTGAAGACCCACTGAGCAAGCCCCATTAAAAGTAATTAGTGGATAGGGAGGAAGTGGGATTATTCTGGATAGATTTAGAGGGGAGGCTAAAAAAAATGATACTAGCCAGGCAGGTGCCAAGACCTCTGTATGCTACATCAACCTATACTCCCTGGACTAGTTGAAGGCTACCAGTGTAGAGGAGCCCCTTGAGGCCCTGCTGGACTCGAACAGAGCTTCTTAAGGTCTTGATGGACTGAATTGTGATACAGATCTTGGAGCGAGCTGGGTAAGCGGATGAGCCTGAGTGTCTGGCTTAATTAATAGATTTGAAAAACCAACCAGTAGCTGCCTGGACTGATTTATCTCGTGGCTGGACTAGATGCAAGATAGCCTAGTGATGAGGATGGTGGGGAGAGGCACCTGAGTGTCATTCTGGCATAACTAAGAGCTGAATCCTAAATTGTAAGGCTATAAGAACAAGAGTGACACATGAGTCCAGGGAGGACACTGGGACAAGCAAAGTGGGAAAGCAGGCTGAGACTGACTGTTGAAGGGTATCAAACTCTGGGGTGTAACACCAAACCTGCTACAGAAGGGATGGACAGAGGAGATTAGGGGGAATGGGCTGGAAAGTCCTTGCCAACTACTATACACCTCTCTAGAGAGTCTGGAAGGGAACCAAAGATCCCCGAGCTGCACTCAGACTCTGCCATTCATGAAGATCTGTAAATCTGTATGGGCGAATTGTCTCATTCCCCACTAAAACTGATCCATGCAGAGGATGCAAGTGTCTGCTGCTCTCAGTGATTCCATTTTCCCATGTCATAGAGACCAGTGCAATGGATCTACAGCCTCCCACCCAGATGACAAATCCTAGTAACACTGGTGGGACACCAGAGGGAAACAGGTGTTTTTCTGGTGTGCTTTTTTGCAAACTTGGGAAATTATACATGGACAACAACCATGTTAATAGACCATGATTAAAGCTTCAAAAAGTTAGGTAAAGTTACTTGGGCAACTGTAAGTTACTGCCCCTGTGCATTTTTGGACAAGGATGTGTTATTTTCCCACTTGAGCTCTGCCTCTTTCGCTGCACAAGGGGGATCAGCCTGTGGATATAGCAGGTTTGTATGATGAGAGTGTTGCCTGTAGGAAACCTATAGGTCTCAGGGACTGCAAAAGGTGACAGCTGTGTAAAGTGTGATGTCAGGGGAACAGTGGCCTGTTCAACCCCAGACCCCCCACAAAGTCCTAGGTCAGTGTTGCTTGACTGCCAGCCCCCTTGCTGGATCTGGCCCGAAGAGCTGTGTCAGCCAGGCCAGGAAGCTCCTCATGGGTTCAGAAATTTGGTGGCAGGGAAGCAGTCCCAGAGCCACAGCAACTAATGTTCCCACCACTACCAAATGCCTGGTCCTTGTGGGGAGCACTATGGTCTGGATGACATGGGTCCAGTGCACGAGATCATGCCAGCTTGCCATCGCTCTGTGGCCAGATCTGTCATTTGGGGTTGGGCTGGTGTGCATCATCATACCAGAGCACCTACAGACTGACCCTGTGAGCACACCCCTTGCAGGATTTGGACCAGAGACTGGCCTTGTGCCACTCATGGGGCCAATGGGGCTGGAGAGGTTGAGCACCACGGTTCTAGGTAATGACACACAAACCACTGCAGCTGAACTGCTCGGTGCCAGTGACCAACTGGGCGCTCCTCATTTACTCTGTTGAGCGTCTGATTTGCTGAGTACTCACAGCTGCAAATGAAGGCAGGGAAAGCTGGGCTTTGAATGTATGAAGTGTTACAATGGTAAGTACTCTGAAAAGCCAGGTCCTAAGTATCTCCAAGTTGGGGATCCAAAATGAACACATACTGTTGCCCATTATCTTTCTGTGCCTCTCTTTTCTTTCTGTAAAATGGCGGTAATAATACCTGCTCATCTCACAGCAGATATTAGAGAAGAAATTAATACTACTTATGAAGCCCTCGGAGTTGGTAGCAATAAACTCTATAGAAAAGCTTGTGACAAAATATCTTCTGGGACCACACAATAAGCAACAAGAAGCCAAAGAGCTGATCTTTAACTGTGCACTGAATGAGACAGAACTGAAAATAGGAGGAGATCAGTCTGTACCATAATGCAGACTAACAAGGAGGCTGAATTAGATTGCAGCCTCACCTTTGGCATCTCCTGACATTAAATATTTGTTTTTCAACCTTAATAATGCTTCTTTAATATATTTGTGTCTGCACTACACACACATATGCATGCTTGCATATATATCCAGGCTTGTTTGGTTTGTCAAAGTTATGAGGTATTAAAAATAGAGTATTAAAATGTGAAGTGTTAAGTAAACATAATAAAAGACAGTGCTACCAGCCCTACATCTTATCAGGGAAAACTCTATTGAAGTCAATTGTGCTAAGATGGGTGTAAGAGCAGAAGCTGGTCCATATTCCTACGGGGATAATTCACATCGTTCAGGGCACCTGAATGAGAACTAAGTGCCACCTATCTTTTATATAAGTCCTTAAGATGAAGGTTAAGAAGGACCTACATGTGCCCCGGCCTGTGCTAATTCACTGCATAGGGATGAAAAGCTTTAGTGTGCAAATAAAAAAAAATTCTATTTGTTTCCAGTAATATCAGTGGGTTTTGAACTAGGCCTCTAAACCCTTTGGACCAAAAAAGAAACACTCCCACAAAAAACAACCATTAAGTATGTGAGATCACATTGCATATAATGTTTCTGGCAGAAGTCTGTTTTCTCTGAATTGCTGGGCTAGGAATGCAGATCTACATTACTTCGGTTTAATATTCTTATAGTCCTTTTATTCACAGGAACTAAAACGTTCCCCCTGACTCTGGCATGTGGTCTTCTACCCCATCGAAGCCAAAGGCAAATGAATTCAGTGCTGTTAGAGCTATAGTGTCATAACCATGGTTTGGCTTCTCTGCACAACTCCATCTTATAGTGATTTGTTAAACCTGGTTCTGTTTTATGCAAGGCTTCACCTCAAGTTATGCCCATTTAACTGTCTATACTATGAGATTTTACCTGGAGGGGTGCAAAATTGCAAAGTTTACATATTGTCTCATTTGTCAAACAACAGGCAGTTAATGTTAGTTTGAAGCTGTAAGATTAATAAAGCAAAGAAGAAAAGAGTGTTAATTCACATGGTCAAAGAAAAGGGCTGCCACCTCAAGCCAGGTCTTCACACAGTTTTGATACTAGGGTAATGTCTTTAGTTGGGGGGGGG